TTAATTGTTGTGAGTTCATTATCATCCACTTCTCATAATCTATTATATGTTTCAGAGACTTGGAGATTTTTTTTTCACTCTGCAATTTTTGTATCTGTATCCTTTTATTTCTGGAACTTCTGAGAAAACTTTAAAGAGTGCAAGCCATATATCTTTAATGAAAGCATTTCAATGATGCCTTATTTTTTCAAGACATTTTAAAATCTAAATTAAGAAATCAACTATAAAATTAATTATTACAAATGAATATAATACTTATGATAGGTAAAAACTTAGAATAAAAATGGGAATCCTATCTATATTTATCTATATCTTTTATAAACTCTTTAGATTGTTTTTAACATAAATCTCAAGATATTCTTTAAATAATTCTGCAGCAGATATAATAACATCTTCTGAACCTCCTTAGTAATTGTTATGATACCTGTAATAATTCATATAACCCATTTGAACAATATAATATATAATTATTTAATAAAGACTAAGACCAGGCCTTACTTTTTTAAAAAAAAAAGTAATTCTTACGATACCTTTCTATTGTTAAAAGCAGAAATAATAAAACAACAAATTCTTAATACTTTTATTAAAATATAATTCAATATGAATACCGATAGCATCAAAAAAAATTCAACTAGCTGTTACCTCAAAAAAGGCAGACATTAAACTATCTTTTTATTGTAATTTTAAAATAACTTTATTATTTTCTCAAGTTTTTTTGTTGTTTGAGTTAATTTTCCAAACAACCTTATTTAAGCATTAAGTTTTTCTAAAAAATGCAGAAAGGACCAAATAATAATTATTATAATTTTCTAAAAAAAAAAAAACTAGCAACAAAATTTTAATATTAAATTCAATAAATATTAAATTATATATTATCTGCAACAATCTTTTTGAATAGTTTTATTTGCTCAATATTAACTGTATTATTATTTTATCTATATTTTCTTAAAAAAGAATCTTGATTATCATATCTATAGTCATTAATATTATCATCAGTAGAATAATCATTATCACTATTGCTTCTTCCAATATTATTAATACAACCTTTTTTTCTACTGTCATCATTATTAACATCTTTTTTTCTTTGACAATTAACATCTTTTTCCTTAGCAATTACTTTCCCCTTGACAATCATCATTATTACTTCTTTTACCAAGATTATCATCATTATTGTTACGTTTTTTATCAAGATTATCTTCAATATCATCATCTTTATAACTATTATCATTTGGCACTTCATTAATTTGATTATAGTACTTTTATGAGGTTTCTTGATAGTTTGGCTTTGAATATTTTGTAAAAAAATATGTGATATTTGTAATAAACCTTTTAAAAATAGCTTTTTAAAGCTATCTATTAATTATATTAAATAAATTTACTGAAATTAAAAAAAATAATTAATAAATACTTTATTATAATTACTTTCTTTATATGCACTATTATTAAAATCATTGCTGTCTATATGATCATTATTATATAATTGTTTATTTTGTGATATAGTACTTTTATATACTTTTTTGTTCTTTAATCTGCTTATTTAGCTTTGATTATTATTTTGTTTTTGTGATACTCATAATAGACTCTTTAATGATATCTTTTTGAAACTATCTATAAATTATATTAAAAAATAAATTAAAAAGTAGTAAAAATAATTAACAGAAAGCTAGTTTATATATACTCATAGTTATTAATCCAAGTAGTTTTTTTTGTGAAGTTTTAGCAATGTTTGTTTAGACAAGAAAATTTTTGGAAAACTGTTTTTCTTTGATATACTTCTAGCAACTAAAGTTTTTGCTATTTTAAAATATAAATTAAATAATCTAAAATTTTAATATAATATAATTTTATAAAATTGAACTTTACATTTTTGTTCTCTTTTTGGATTACTTTTTTTTGCTATTTATAAACATTTTGTATTTAAAAATATAAAGCTGATATAAAATATTTAAGTCTTAGCAATTGAAATAAAAGCAAATAAAGCATAAATATATTGTAACAAAGTCATTAAATTAAATATAAATATAAGGTTAGAGTATGAACTAATATATAAAAAGGCTTTTGGTTTCAATAATGGTTTCTTATTTTTGATTTTAGCTTGTTTTATTTTTGATATTGGCTTTATCTTTTTTAAGCCTGGTTTGTTTTAATATAAACTCATTATTTTTCTTTATTGCTTTTAATTATTTACTAATTTATATTAACTTTAATTATTATAAATTTATAAGATTATTAATATTTTTAAAACTTTATTCAAATATTTGATTTTATAAAGAATTTTACAGGATATTTATGAAGCAACTAGAATTATTGCAACATATTCAATACTGGTATTCTTCTATAAAAAATTATTCAAATATACAAGATCATATTACTGAGCAAGATACAAAATTTTTTCAAGATGAAGAGTTATTCAAAAATTTAAAAATTAAAGTAAATAAAATTTTATATTTATTTAAAAAATTTTGTATAATGCTTAATATATAAAATGTTAAAATATAATAATTGATAATTCTCTAGTAAACTGAAAAATTATCTTAGTATAACATAATGCAGTTCTATATATAAATCTTTTAAGACAGAAATAAAAGGATACAGATACAAAAATTGCAGAGTGAAAAAAAAATCTCCAAGTCTCTGAAACATATAATAGATT